AACGAGATCGAGAAAGTGTTGAAAGCGTCGAAAAGCGGAAAACTGGTCTTCTTCTCTCTTTCTCTTTCTCTCTTCTTATAATATCCTACGAAGTCGAGCTTCTGCTCACTTGAAACTACTTCAGCTACCAGAAACTATACACTACCACAACGCAAAAGAATATCCGTCTATCTTTTAATATTTAAGAAGACTTAAGAAAGACTTAAAGAGTTTATATATCCAACTCCGACTTATTCCGATTGTGGAAGAGTAATTAAAAGAAAGTTCTGGAAGATTTTATAGGCCTACAAATTTATTCGTAACCGTTAAATAAATATGATGATATAAAATAGAAAAAAAAAAACAAGCGAAATAAAATGAATACGTAACGTAATTACAATAATATGAAAACATAATAATAATAATAATAATAATATCGCAGGTAAAATTTCGGTAATAAAAATTCGATAAAATGTTGCGAAAGCATTATGATAAAGGAAAGGTACTCGTATGTGTAAAAAAGAAAAAGAAAAAGAAAAGAAGGAAGAAAGAAATAGAAAAAGTGAGAAGAAAGAATAGAAAAAGGTAAAGAAGGCAGGTAGAAACCGACTAAACGATTCATCGCGGAGGGGATATTCTCTTTCGTCAGAAAGCACCTGTTGCCCTTTCCTCGGCTAATCCAAACGACGACCTTTCGCACGACGTTTCTCGCAAAACGATCTGAGTATTTCTTCCTTCTTCATATCGCACGTTAAATGATCGTCAGATACTCCATACTAATTAGAAGAGGACTTAGATGAAAGGGTTGCTTGTAGAGATTTAAATCGATCACCTGTTGCCTCTTTCTCATAGCCGGTGAGAAATTCAAATGAGTAGGTATATCGTTGAAAATATACGTTTTCATCGATTCATTGCAATTAATATCGAAAAAATGATGTTTGTTTTTGAATTTAGATGATTGCTGTAGCAAAGATTGGACATGTGGTCAAATTTGCACTGCAAGGCCATCTCTGGCTAACTTTAAGTAAACGAGTCTCATGGGTAACTCACTGATATCTTTGGGTATTTCCTGAGACGAAAGATTCCAAGAATTGTGTATTAATATATAATATGCATGATATTTTCTACCTTATTGATCTCTTAAAGATTAAGATTATTATGTTAGAATCAAAAGTATCAATTTTTACATAATACGGAATACGAATAGAGAAAAATTTAGTTTAAATAGAAATGTGAAATTTTAATGAGAAAATAAATGGTGTTAAGGAAGATTATGTTAAATTAATAAGATATAATCGATTGAAATGTAAACATGGAAAATTTCCTGACCTTAATATAATGCGTTCAAGTTTGGACTTTTTTCTCTCTTACTATAAAAGTTTTTTCCTCATCTTTCACGTCAGTGTTATCACTAATATTTCGAGAGAGATGATATGTTCGAAAGTTCAATAGATGCCTAGAAACGATAGAAAGTCGGAAGTAAATGGAACGGCTGTAAAAAGGGGATCGTAAAAGAGAAAAATACGGGTCTATTCAAATGCGAGCTGTATCGTTAATATTTTCTAAATGCCAGTGAGATTTATATTTCAAAGCAACTTGCGAAAAGCCAAACGACGAGTCGAAAAAAGAAAAAGATAAAAAACCCGAATAGAGTTCTGTACGTTAAATGAAATCACGTATGAACATTACTATAATATAAGATTTTAATTAATTCGACGGTCATCGTGCTTTAATTTTACAAATATAAATTACGAAAAATCCTTGCCCTAATTTGGTATATAAAATTAATATTTAATTATAGTTGTCTTTTAATCGTATTTATTCCGTCGCGCTTCATTTTATCCGGATACTAGGAATCTTTTAATTATGTCTAACGTTCTTTTTCTCCCCCCACCGAACTGTTTATCGTTTACTTTCTTACGAACTCTCTTTGAAAATCCGGAAGCTTAATTGACTTTATTGAATCCTCTCATTTATTATCTCTACAGCTGAATTTGCCCTTTCTCTCTCTCTCTCTCTCTCTCTCTCTCTCTCTCTCTCTCTCTCTCTCTCTCTGTTTTTTCTTATTATAAAACGAAATTGGTAAAAATGCAAGCATCGCTAAAACATTTCTTCGATAATCTTTATCTTCAATAAATACGAAAGTAAATTTTAATTTCGTTATTCAAACGATCCTTCGATTAAAATCAAAATAATTGCAACATGTGCACAATATCATTAATACACTTTATTTATTATATTTATTTTTGTGCTAAAATATTATTATCATATTACAATTAACCTATTTCTCCTCAGATAGTATATTTTGTTGCAAAATAACAAAAAGCATACAAATTAATTCATTATGTCCTATCTTTCTCTCTCTCTCTCTCTCTCTTTCTTTCTTTCTTTCTTTCTTGTTTCGGTATTATCCGTGTATCTCGTTTACGAGGCTTTAATACAGACAATCGTTCACAGCGGAATTATCTCAAGCATATAATCATTAAATAGATTTTTATGCTACTTGTGTCTACTCTTCCATGCAAGAAAAATTACAAATTGTCACGTGACGCAAGGGATTATTTCATTTTTATATTCGACAGTTGAACAAAAGTTGGCCCCGTTTCTCTCGCTCTGATTTCTATTTTTACATTGGAAAAATTTCCTTTTAATGGGCCTTTCAATTCGTGGTCTTTCCAATCGAAACGAGAAATATGAATGGAAGTAATGCGCATACATAAGCTCAGCCAGTGGTCAAATCCCAGGCTGGTTTGATCACCCTCTTTGGACCATCACCCAACGCCCAAGGGGTACGAACGAATACGAGCAGTACGAGGGTAAACCGCGTTCATGATTCAATCAACGAAGTTAAAGCGAGCGCAAAATAGTACCATGTATCCCCGTGACAACCCTTCTGCATTTGTTCGAAAACGTTGCCAATCACGCTCTCTCGTTCACCACGATGATACCACGTTACTTCTCTCGTATAATTTTTCAAACCACAGTATGAACTCGCATCGGTGAATCTAAATTTTCATGCTTCGAATAATAATAAAAAAAAAAGACAAAAATTCTCCGGAGAAAAATAAAAAGAAAAAATTGGAAAGAAACTTTACGAGAGGAGAAATAACAAAAAAAATACGTATTATCTTAAGCACAAAATACTCAAACAATTCGATCGATTTTAATTAATAGCAATGAATTACGGTGACCTGTTTCGTACCTCATCAAATATCTTTTAAACAAATCATGGTTGTTGATTTATTGAGTTTTGCCAGTTCACAGATAGATAAAACGTGGATGTAGGAAAGAGTACACGTACTATATATGTATATAACACGTGTAGGAACATATTTATTCTATTGACAATTTAAACAGTACCGGCAGAATAATCACGTTTTATATTCGAATGTAATAAACATTATATTTACAATACAAATGATATCTCGACCAAAGAGAATTTATCAAACGGTATATTTCATCCGTGATCGATGAGGGTAGAATATTTTTCTTTATCTCTAAAATAAAATGAAAAAATTCCATCATAAAAACTAACACTCGCGAGTTTTTTGATAACGATAACAACATGGAATAGTCAAATCGTATATTTTATTTCATTTCAATCGATACACAAAATATTGTCAAGAGACGAGCAACCAGCACCTAAATCTTATTCAGCCTCTCGGTCACTCTTCTCTCTCTCTTTTTCTTTCTCTCTTAAAAAGAGAGAAAAAAGCAAACCATCACAAAATTCACTATTCTCGGAGTTTAGATATTTACGAGACACCGCGTCGCGTTTCTCACGACTCGGGGTAAGGGAAGGGAAATGTTGCGTGGGAAGCTGAATATGATCGATGAGATGAACGGTACGTACCGAATAAAGATACGATATAGCTTGAGAAAGTGAAAAAGAGAGAAATAGGAAAGAGGAAAGAGAAAGAGAGAGAGAGAGAGAGAGAGAGAGAGAGAGAAAAAAGGAAAACTGGAAAAGCCAAACTCGAGCAGAAAGTGCCGCGCCGGCGCCACTGTATCGAGACTCACGGAATTGCGTTTAATCTCGCAAAGCTTGACGCAATCCATCTTTCTTGTCCTTTCAAGTAACCAAAAAAAAAAAAAGAAAAAAGAAGAAAAACAGGCGTCGCCATCTTGAAAGTCTCCGGCTTTTTTCCTTTAATCTCTTCTTCTTCTTCTTTTTCTTTTTCTTTTTCCCTACCGCCATCGTTATCGTTCCACGTAATGAACCAAGTTGTCTTTACCTACCTACGCCACTGCAAATACAGTCGTTGAAAATGTTTGCAACAGTCTCGGATCTCGCGCCACCGAGCTCCTTGTTATTGTTGCTTCTGCAACTGAGTAAAAGGCTGCACCTCTCGAAGCAGCCGGAAACTCGGCCACCTGGGAAATACCTCGTAATGCCCATAAAGCTGGCTGGCTCTCTCTCCCATACTTCTCTCTTTCTTTCTATTCTCTAGCTTCTTTTTCTCACCTATTTTCCCCCTTACAACTTCAATCTTACCCTCTCTCTCTCTCTCTCTCTCTTTCTGTTTCTCTTATCTTTCTTCATCCGTTCTACCCGTTTTCACACTTTATCTCTTTCTATACTACTTTTCTTTCGTTTCTCTCTCTCTCTCTCTCTCTCTCCCTCTCATTTTCTTTTTATACGTTTTTACGTTTTTCTCATGCTTTTTCCATTTCTTTTCCGCTATCTTTCGGCCACTAGCGAATACGAGTACTCACTTGCAACAATAGTGAGATGTGCATAGAACGAAAAAAAAGTCTCCATCTTGGCTCGTCAAACAATGCATCGGGTACGGTCTCTCAAACACAGTCAGAGCAACAATTTAGATCTCTTATGCGAATCGGTAGAGAATCATTAGAAAAGTATTTACGTTCACATGGAAATGAACAATACATTTTTAAAAAAAAAAAAAGAGGTCTGTTTTAAATATTCTTATTTTATATGTTTATTTTCATAAAGACTTAATAAATTATGTGAACGTTCTTTAAATATATATATATATTATTATAATGTTTAAATATCTAATAGATTAAAAGAAAATTCCACGAAGTTTTTCATTTGTTTTAATCTCTTTTTTTCGATTTTTTATTATCATAGACATGTTCCATCTTCGTGCTCGTCCTTTTACTTAAAAACTTGATCAGCCGATAAATAGCGTATAATATGAATAAAAAGAGAAGGATCAAAAATAAAATGACGTCTAGAAGGTGACGTTGATACCACGGTTGTTCCACTGCATCGCTTCGAATATATGCTAAACCATTTCCTCTGCCGACATATTCGATCCACCATACTGCTGTCTCCAATGGACTCGATGGTCGATCTCTGAAAGCCTTTGAAAGCTTTTTCACATTATCCCTATACCTGAAACCAAACCAGAACATAAAAGATTAGCATTCCTTTAATGGAAAATGTTAATACATGTTTAATCAATTAAATAACGAATAAACAAAGTAGATGATATCGTTCGATGAGATTACATTTTATTTTTACGTTATTTTTATAATTATTTTTCACGTTCAAATATGTTAAATAATATTTCTGCAATGTAAACATTACCTCTAAAAAATCTAATAATGTTGAAATTAATTCTACGAATAAACGAGAGAGAGAGAGAGAGAGAGAGAGAAAGAGAGAGAAAGAGAGAGAAAGAAAAAGAAAGAAAAAGAGAGATAAAGAGCTCGTGATGTTCGGAAAATCGATGTTTAAACGTTCTACGTGTTCTCTCTCTCTCTCTCTCTCTCTCTCTCACTCTCACTCTTTCTCTCTCTCTCCTTCTCATTCTCATTTCAGGTTCTTCTACCAACCATTTTCTACACGACTCACGTTTGCTTGTCTGACCATTACGCATACTTTTACTACTGCTTCGTAAAACTTGCTTCACAACGATGTCCTTCAGTGGACGCAACCAAATAACGGCATTCTGTTTCACGCTCGTCCTTTCATGAATGTTACATTTGTGAACACGCAAGCAATCGTTGTTACAACAATTCGTGCCTTGCTCGCGTGCTATGCGAGTACAATGACATTTTAAAAAGGAATTAGAACGAAAAAACATAAGGGAAGATTATATTCTATTTATTGATGCTTTAACATAAATATATGAAAAGAATATATGAAATATGACAAACAAAATATTAATATTAAAATTAAATATATAACATAGATTTTATATTAATGCGAATTATTTTACACGTTAAACGAATTTCATAACAGATAAAAAGTAAAAACAAAAAAAATACAAATAAATAAATAAATACGTACTTATATTTATATTTTACAATTTCACGCTCTACGCGATAATACATATATATGTATTTATATTTCATAATATTCACTGTTATATAAAATTCGTACGTATTACAACATTTAATACTCTATATACGAGTAAAACATTAACGTCGATATCATCCATCTAATTTCTCTCGTATTACTAAAGAAAACTCGGTTTAGCAACTAAACACATAGTTTACTCTTTAGGATCAAAGTATGAGTCTGGAACACCTCAAACGAAACCAAATATCATCTCTCCTATGTATGACATGTATTAATGAAAGCAAGAAGGATGATTTCCAACGAGCGAGAAGATTGACGAATAGAAAGAGAAAGAAAGAGAAAGAGAGAGAGAGAGAAAGAGAGAGAGAGAGAGAGAGAGAGAGAGAGAGAGAGTGATATGCAGTAGGAGCTATAGAATAAAAGAAGAGAAACGTCTATTTGTATCTCTCTCTCTCTCTCTCTCTCTCTCTCTCTCTCTCTCTCTCTACCTCTTGTCCAAACACACTTACACACACCAGAACTCGCTCACTCGGATGAATCGGGACACACAATTTACCAATCGGTACTCTCCATTATTCGTGTTTACAGCTGCAGTCCGCGAATCAACCTGGTAGCCGTTATTTGCTTCGGTCAAATTCAGTCGCAACCCTGCGGCGGTTTTGAATTAACCATCAATTTTAAGCGCGTCGGACACCCCGTACGTTGCACCCCCTGTACCACCCTTAACTCTCGACGATCCCTCGCCACGGAGATATCGATGTTTTCATGTTATCGAATGAAGCTATAGGCCGAGGAAATTAATTCGTTACTCTCGTGATCACCTTTCTCTCTCTCTCTCTCTCTCTCTTCCTCTTGTCTCTTTTGAGTTACATATCAATAAAGAAGATATCCCCTTTTAGATAAATCGGCTTCATTCTGAAACTACTCTTTACATTTTCAACGTAATATTTGACACTTGAAACACGAAAAAAACGTCAAAGATGTTAGAACGAGCAAACGTAATTTACTTGAGATTCTCTTTCAAAAGGGCTAATCAACTCGAGAACCAAGCTCGTTAACTTTGCCACGATAATGGAAATGTTTCGGATAAGGGTTCCAGCAGTAGATGGATAAGTATAGTAGGTATGTACTTTAGTTTTCTTTGAGAACAACTTCCGTGACTCGTTCGTCTCTTTCAAGTTGAAATTTTCCACGAAAGTATTACAGCGATGATTGTTGAATTAATTTAAAACAATGTACGATAATGTTATTACATTTACGTGACTCTGTGTTTATGTAAATGAATAATTATTTTAATCGAAATTATTAATTTTTCAAGATCGTAAAGAACTATTTAAAATTTTGTATCATTATCGATAATATAAAAAAGATAGGCCTAATTTAAAGGTCTTTAAATATCAAAAATCAAATCGATTAATTCAAAATGAAAAACAATATGTTAAATAATGAAAAATATATCACTATTATTATTATTATTTACATTATACGATACGATTACTATTATACTATTTCGCTGTTTTTAGATTTATTTGCTTTCTTGTTCTGGAAAACCAGTCGACGAATTCGTTTCAACTACCAAGCTCTGGCACAACACAAAAAAAAATGCAATAAACGAATGTATGAAAGAAACACAACGAGTTACGAGTAATTATACAAACAAATTCCAAGAAAACTTGTTACTTTTGGAAATCAATCAATCCGTTGGTAATAGAAAAAAAATATAGATCAGGAAAAAGAATTGTATGTACGAACGAATAGCGTAGAGTCTGCTTTTATGTCACGAACGGCAACTATTACTACTACTACTATTACTACCATCAACTACTACTATTACTACTACTATTATTACTACTACTATGATGACGAGAGAAGAGAAAACTCGAGAGTAGTGAAAAAGTAATAGCGGTCGCTTTCATTCGCTCGAAAAGCATCAAGTTTTTAAAAAGTTATATAGGCCGGTGAAGCTCACGCTCTTTTTGTGCTCCCGTGCACTTTTATGACAATTTTCGAAGCGCGGATTTGTATTAAATGCAACCTAATTACTCCTCCGACGGCACTGCTATTTATATCGTATATTAATTAAAATAAATACAGCGCGCGATTAAGAAAGTACAAAATGAAATATTAATATTTTAATTAATCTATATATATAAATATATTATTTAATATAAAATGAGACCGCGCAACGTTTATCCTATCGATAAATGTGTCAATTTATTATTTTCAAAAATAGAAAAATGGCAAACCTAAAAGAGTTAGATAAGCTTTTAAAATATATGTACTTAACATTTGTATAGGATAAAATAAGAGAAAAAGAGCTAACGTACTATTTGTCTTGAAACATAAATGAGAGAAACGCCGCTAAGGTTATCAAGAAAACTATCTAGAGGCATTATTATAGGAACACATAGTGGAAATAGTCGAACGTCGAATGTAATGGCTCCGATTATCTCGATCTCTCTCTCTCTCCCTCTATCTTCTTCTCTATTTTCCTAGACCTCTCTCCGAAAAGAAAAAGAAGAATAGATGATTCATCGGAAATAAATTTGGCAGATAAGAGAGGAACGTGACATGAAAGAGAGAGGGAGGTAAAGAGAGAAAGATAGAAATAACAAACTGACCGATCTTCGTTGTTCGTCGTTGTAATTGGACGAGCTAACATAGAACAAGAAAATGTTCTTCTAACTAGTTTCTTCTTTTTTCTTCTTATTGTTAGCGAGAGAGAAGGGCAAAGAGGCTAAACGTTGCCAGGATAGTTCGAAGGAGAAGTAACGTTATCGGAAGTTGTCTGAATTATTTAGTCACGAAAGTCAGAAGGCAGATGTCGCGAAAGTTACGGTAGAGAACCATTTCTAGTCCCATTTCGGAGGCCGGATCGTATCTCCAGGGGATCATAATTCCCACGATATCTTGAATCGTTGTCGCTCGGCTCGAGCTTTCTCTGTCTCTATCTTTCTCTGGCACGTTACAAACTTACTTTCCCCAACTTCCGACTTGTAACGTTATTACTGAGCCGCTGGAACCCTTACCATCTCCCTTTCCGACCATTCTACACTCCTTATTCTTATTCTGTGATTCGACACCACGAACGATTCGTTTCTCCCTCATGTCTCTTATTTCTCTCTCTCTGTCTCTCTCTCTTTCTCTCTTTCTCTTTCTCGAATTTAAATAACACAATATACTATCCTTGTTAATGGTGGTTGTGATTTGGAATTCCTATAAATTTATTATTCCTAAAGTTAAAAATATTTCAATCGTAATTAGACAGACGGTATTATTTTATTGAATTATATATCAATTTTATTTTGAAAAAAAAAAAAGAATCTACACGTAGCTCGCGATAAAAATAGATTAGAAACGTTTTCAACACGTTTCTAACGCCTATCCTTGTTCGTGTTTCTGCGCCATAAAAAACTTATAGTGGGTCACAAAAATGATTATATACACTTTTCAATCGACCGACTTTATTTTGATTACGTGCAAAGTGTCACGAGATTGCAAGTAAATCGAGAAAAAAAAACTATTACTTGTGTGTTCTACGTGAATTTATGAAAAATCTTTATCGATATCAACAACGATAAATTAATCTCATATTTTTATTAATTATTCTTGATTTAACAATAGAATTTAAGTATCATTCAATAAACAAGTTCATATTTTAATCTGAAAGTATACGATCATTTTTGTAAGTAATTCAAGAAACTTCTTTTGCTATAAAATAATAATAATTTCGATCTATCCTTTGAATTTAATTATCGAATTGAATGTGACGATTATTACGCTCGAGGGAGACATAATTCGCATGATATCTCCGCTCGTCGCTCTGCCAACAGCCCTACGTTATAAACTTTGAGACTTGTAACGTTATCATGGAGATGCAATGGGACCTTTCTCTCTTCTCTCTCACACATACACACACTCTCTCTCTCTTTCTCTCTTTCTCTCTGTAACTGTCTCTAATAACTGATATATGCCGTAACTCGTGCGTACTACTCACGTGTTTTCAACGAAAAAGTTGACATGACACACGCATGCAGCGTTGAATTTCAGCTAGCGCGATCATTTAAACCTAAAATTCTGACAAGCTT